ATATCTCTAACCTCCTCAAAAGACAAGGAGGAAGACCATACATAAGAAAATGAAGATGACTCCTATGGAGTCCTGACACCTATAAGAAGATAAACAAGTACAATGGGCCGGCCCGACTCCAAACTAATCCAAGACACGAAGTCTCGAAAGACAAAAGCCAAAGTTAACAATAATTCACCGACAAAAAGACTGTAGCCACAGTAAAGATTTTCCACTTTATACTGTAGCCACTTGTCGACCACCTGACAATTACTGTAGCCACTTGCCGACCACCTGTCAAAAGGGATATTACCTTTTTGGTAGCCACCCCAGCTTGTCGGACACCTGTCATCAATAGAGATGCCACCGACAACTTTAGTCTACATCATCACATGGCAGCCTGCGTTAATCACATGGGGAGATGATCAATCAACATCCGGAATTCAAAATAATATTTTGAAGTCTGGAGAATTTCCGAACAGGTTATCAAACAATTATTCCAGAGCTTCCAAATATCAATACTTCTTGCTTCTATGGAGCTAGAATTTCTAGGTTCCAGGAAATCCTCAACTTCCAATTACCAAACACTCACTAAAAGAATTGGGGTAGTCCTCAAGTCTTTCTTGTCCTGTCCCCTCAGCCCTACCCTGCAGTCCTCATTTGTGAATGACCACTAATCATTGTTTTTATTAGACTTCCACACTTGTGTTTTACTTCTTGGGGGTTATCACTTATGCTAGATATGAGGATACCTCACCATTATGGGCGATATTACTGATTTAATTATAAGGGGTGATATTATCAACCTTTTGTGCGATTTTCAATTCTAATCATAAGAAGAAGAGAGAATCATCTCAAACTTTTCAACCTGTCTGTTTGCAAATGTTACTAGAGCTTAAAGTATGCTCACTTCAATCTATGGAGTGCTTAGACATCTCTCTATCAAGGCTTGATGGTTCATCTCCCCTTTCATTCCTCTGTCCTTTTCTTTCGATGTCCTTTTCTTCTTTCTTCTCGAAGGTTCAACTTCGAAGGACCTAGTCTTCTCTCTCCAACAACTGTTATCTCTATTACTCTTTTTAATTCTTTACAAAAAGTACGTGATCTTCTTATAGATTGCTTAATTTGTCCTCTACAAAAGAGAGAGAGCTTAACACGTCATTCTTAGAGCTTAACATGTCATTCTTACTTGCTTATCTCTCTCTCTCTCTTCCTCCTCCCCCCCCTTCTCTATATTTGAGCTCCAAAATAAATCTAATTTAGAGGAGATTGCTTTGGAGGCTTCTTAGATTTTCTTTTTTTTGAGTAAAGTTAATTTTTGTATTGCTTTGGAGTGTGAGGCTTCTTGGATTTTCACATTCACACATACACACATACACACGTCAATGTTTTAAAACTCAGCGGAGTCAACTCAGACTTGACCGAGTAACTAGGCCTCAACACTCTACCGAGGCGAGTTTTGTGTACAAAATCTGGTATACAAAATGAAATCATAAAAATAATATATGTTTTACTAAATAACTAATAAATTTATTTATGAAAACATTTATATATAATGTTGATTTTTTGTGGATTTTCTTACTATATGCTCTATTTCTACTTTTTCGTTTTTGGATTTTTCTTTGAATTGTTTCGAGCTACATATCAAATTTTATGTATTCCATTTTCTATATACTTTTTCCAATCATGCATACGATACATGGTGCACACGGACAATCAATTATGTTTTACATTTTTAAATTATTTTAACAATTTCATTTTCCTTTTTGGAATTTTTGAGCTCTTGTTGGGTTCATTAAGGACTTGAGCAAGTTCATTTGAACTAGCACTATTTACACGGCTCGGGAAGGGGCCAAGTCATGAGCATGAGCCGAGTTTTTGCACCATATATATATATAGATGGAAGAGACTACAAAACGCCTATGGGCGAAAATGAACAGTATTTTTGCCCACAGGCTCGGCGCCGTTCGATTTTTTTTTTTCGAATGGGGTGGATTAAAGACCGTCATGGACTTAGCATGTCTGTGGCGGTCCGTCACGGATAAAGCGTGTCCGTGATGGGATTTTTTTCACTCAAAAAATATATGGTGACTGCCACGGCCTCGTAGGTATGTGGCGGTTTTTAGGCAAAACCGTCATCGACATAGACACTGTAGCAATTCACCTATAGGTGTTTT